CATGCGCGCAGACAGCGATTTAAATTCCGGAATAAACGTTACGACGATGACGAGTTACGTTACGAGGATCGAAGATCGATACGATCGACACGACGATCTCCTTTCGACCGATACGCCGCTTTGAAAATGTGAGGGGTGGGATTAAGCTTTGAGATATGGGGATGATATAGTGCTTCATGTATAGGTGAGTCGAGTTCCGAAGCGCTAAATGTTTCGGGAGATCGACGGGATCGCTATGTGATACATGATAAATTCACTCTTGCCAAAAACGAAGAATAAACAGCTTCAAAGATTAAAATCAACAAAAGGAAAAATTGTGAAAAATGAAGCAGTATGAGTTCCAAATAATATATTACGCGATATCTTATAATAAATTTTTTTCTAATTTAGTTTGATACATTTAGCACACATTCTTTTGTACTTAATTCGAAATAAAATAATTTTTAACATTATGTTTGTGTACATGTGCGTGTTGTGTAATTTCGTCCAGTTAAAATTTATGCTATTTATTAAACAGAAAAACTTTACTAAAATAATAATTCTATGATTATGTGTATTAAAATAAAAACTGCAAATACTAATAAAAATGTACACTGTTGATTCAAATAATCATATTTTTTTACAATTGATTTTTTGCAATATTTTCAAGAGTGGATACAAAAGCATATGAGTTTGCTGTTTCCGTGTTGATCATATGTTTTCTCGTATGTAAATGTCAACGTTATTCGCAGTTTTACAAGCGTCCATAAAAAAATATCAAAAAATATCAGTCAATATTAGTTGATCATGTATGTTAAATTTATGTAGGTAATGCTGACTAATATTCAAAATAACTGAGAATTCGATATTGGATTTGGAAATCGAGTATTGGCAACTCTAATTTCAATTATAATAACATTATTTTAGAACGATGTAGAATAGTCTAGTCTTAAATAAATTGTGCCAGAGTACACTAATAGATAATTAAATAACTAAATTTATATAAATTGATTGATATATAATATGTATGAAACATTACTATATATATTTTAAGTACAGATTCTGTAACCGCGATTTAAATATCTGTAATTGATTTTGCAATCAATATTTTAGAATGAGAAACTTGAAATATTAACAAGTATTTAATAATCATCGATTGTTGCTAAAATAGCCAATGGAATATGTATATAAGATATTGCATTGTCCTGTTCTTTTCATTATTATTTCACTAATGTAAAAAAAAAAAACAAGCAAAAAAGAAATATGCGCCGTAAGAAAGAGCAATCTGTGTAATTTATCACTGTTACACCGCCTAGCTTTTTTCACGAGTGCGTGCCGAGGTGGGATTCGATCGTTGTTAAAATTCCTTTATTTAACAACCGGTGTCTATTGAAGAATGTGCTGATAACAATAGCAACGGTGAAAACTATAAACATCTCTTGTGTCGAGACTCGCGCTGAAGCGAAATTCGCACGGACGCTATTTGCATTCCAGAGCATACACGCGCGTAACAAGTCTATGTGAGTGCGCGGGTGCGTGTAGGTTAGATTTACATATTTGTTTCGGCATAATGAATTCCATGCATGGTCAGCTGCTAACCACGCAAAAGTTATTACGGGTACACAGATTACAGGTCGCGTCCATGCGACTTGCCGCGCGGACAAAATCGACCGGCAACAACGCGCTCTTGTTTTTATTAATTTGGTTTGCAAAAATGTTTAATATTCCACGAAGTTGTATTTAATCGTTTGGAAATTTTGTTATTTAATTTGGAGATTTTTGCTTTCGGTAGTGTGTTCAAGTTTATCCAATTAAATTTCATTCTGTATGGATATTTATGTGGAAAGTTCGAATTAAAAAAAAAAAAAGTTGCTTGAGAAAGTTCGTAGCTATGCAATTACATGCAATATGCTCTGCAAATATATTTATACGCAAGTATATATAAAATATTTCTGAATATTCGTAACGTTACAAAATTTTATCTCTCGCTTAACTTTTTATAAATTTTAGTTATTTAAAAACATTTCGTATATATGAAACACAAACAAGATGATTTATTTGAAAGAACTCATTTGATTATATGTTATTGAAAAATCTGAATAATATTTATCAGATACAATTTATTCTAAAATTTTCCAAAATAATCCAATTGAGCTTTTATATTTTTTTAACAGGTATTTCCATGCATAAGGGTTATGCATTCGTGCAGTTCACAAATCCTTTTGATGCACGCAGTGCGTGCCTCGGTGAAGACGGGCGTACTGTCCTCAGCCAGATTCTCGGTGAGTAATTTTCCACTATTTTTACTATATTGTTTGAAGAGTTATTTAAAAATATAACATAATGTTACATTTTAATAAAGATGTTTAAAAAAAGGTTAAAAATGTCTCGAAAGTGGTTTGTTGAAAAAATTTCTATGTAGTTTATAGCATCATAAAAGACTGCAAGAATTATGTATTTTATCATCGTAAATATTTTATAACATTCAAAAAGAAAGAAAACAAATATAAAATGCAATTTTTATATATCTATGACATTTAAAAAAAAAGGATTGTTTATTTATAAAAAATTTAAAGCGACACTGTTATGACGAAAGCCGTTTTTATGGATATATTAACACATATCGATACGCTGTAAAGCGATAATGAAACAAGGAAAGAAAAAGGGGGCTCGCATTAATATGCAACGACGCGAAACGTGCAGGCAATATGAGGGATCACTTTGACGTGATCATTTATTCAACACTCGCCGGAGAAAGTGTATCACTCTTAACGTTCGGCAGCGTGGAACGATATCGAATATCTCCCATAAGATGTATTTATGACTTGTGTAAAAATGTAAAAACCGCCACGAGTTCTTAATAGATATTGAAAATGAGATATTAAAAAGCTGGTTATAGCGTAAATTTTTAGGATAACAATGTATTAGTTTTTTTCTCGAAATTATCTTCTTTTACTTACGAAGGATAAAAATATTACATTGTTATGTGTATATATGCTATCGAAACAATTTCGAAAAAAAATTAACAGTAAATTTTTCATTTATAATAGTATCCTAATTCGATAAAATTTAAAATGCAGCACCTGTGAAACGCTAACGTCCAGAATTGGGGAAATCACAGATGTAATTTTGGGAATCTTCGACACAATTTATATTACGAGTAAATTTTTTCAAACGATTTGAAAGTTTGAACGAAAAAGATTAGCTCGATGAAAAATCGTTAATATGGACGTAAATTACGCGAGAACTGTCCGCGTGCATTTCCTTCATATCTGACGTCCAAATCCGACATAACTGACGTGGGTAACGCCGGTCCTTAAGATATTAAATTAGAAACACCGCATTCGCATTAGGACGAGAGAAATGCCGGAACTGCGGAAACCCGGCGGTGGTGCCGGCCATAGGAATATATCCCGCCCGATCGTTTGGTTATGACACACGGCATAGACCGTCTTACAAAGGCACGGCCACTGAATACCGCACGCGTGAAATAAACAAACGGCGACGATAGGATTGAAACCCGGGACTTAACGCTCGATGCAGCGGTACACGCGCGGCTACCGTAAAGCTGTCTGTATTTCGCGGAGCAAATCGCCATATTATATCTTCCTGTCAAATGAGGGTAAAGCTATATAATTAATGAGAATCTTACCTTTATTAACAGGACTTGATGAATTTTAATGGGCAGAATTCTCAGTTGCATGACAGAATTGTGCGAATAATTCATATTTGCACATTTTCTTCAGCCAGCTAATATAGTATTTTACACTTTCAAATCTGTAATCAGATAGAGAAACAGATAAATAAATAAATAGATAGATAATTTCTTTATGTATAATAGAATTTCAAGGGAATTTTGGAACGTAATTTAGGATGCTGACATGCAATTAAGCGGTATATCAAAATATATTTACATATTATGTAATAATCATGTTTTCGTTCTTCATACATATTCTCATATGCTAATGACACATGCGAAATTTTGTTATGGTAAAACGGTTACTTTAAATTTCGTTAAAGTTTTTGTAGCATCGTGGAGTTTATAACCTGAAAAAAACATTCATTAAAATTGAAAAATTTATAAAAAAATGAATTTTTACTTTACCAATTATTTTATTTTTTACATTTAACTATTATTTATGTAATATTTGTATAATATTAATATAATATTTGCATATTAAATATTATATATTATATATTTATAAATATTATATTTTGTTTCTACGTTTTCAAAAAAAAGGTATTAGGATTCTTATAAACTTGTAGAACTTTGAAATACTCGTGCGTTTATTTGTCATCTGTGAAAAACGTTCATGAGATTTTTGAACACGCCCATGGGATACGTGAGATTGTTGAGGCGTATCCTATACATGCCTCGTAATCCATGTCCTTCATGTCCTACATGTTCCATGTATGCTACCTCTCGAGTATCGAATGCGCGTATCAGCATCGAATTTTTCAGAACACTCTTTCCACCTCGTGCCGATACAACGATGCTCTTTTCGGCATCTCTCACTAGCCGTTCCTTTATAGGAGTGTTTCTCATCAACTTACATTTACGCTAGCCTCTTTTCATCTCGCTCTCAATCTAATCGAATAGAATTCATTATGTCGTAAACTTTGTTATTTATATCGTATAAATGTATGGAAAAGAAAACGAGATGGACAAAACAACGTCTTGTGAAAAGGAAATATCGCGACTCGATAAACGTTAATCTCTATACAAATTTGTGCAAAATGCGACGTGTTGAGTAAATTTCCAAACTTAATAATTCTTTTAATTTTCTAAACGAATTTCGAAGTCTACAAACTCCTGTCAATTACGTTCCGGGTTTGAGCGTAGCTCACAGCCACCCGTCTGCTTTTACCCAAATATTTCTCACCGTTCCCGCATTATAGCGCGCGCGCGCGCGCGAACGCGTACGGGCGCGAGAAGCTGTCCACCCTTCTATTTCTAACCCGTTTCTCCTCCCCTGTGGCAAGTCGCACTTGTAAATGCACGCCATCGTCCGCGCGCTCGCGCGCGCCCGCGTATGTACGTGCTTGTCCGCCCCGAAGGTAGGCGAAGCATCGGGCGAACCGCCGGAAACACAGTTCTTGCATTAGCCGAAGAAAGATTTCTGGGGTAATCGTGGCGGAGAAACTGCCATCCCCGAGAGAAAGGGCAAAGAGAGAGAAACGAAGAAAGAAGGGACGCGCACGCGCGCTCGTCGTTCTTATTGGCGCGGATTCCAGGTGGACGGAGGGTGGCTGGCGAGGGGGAGAAGGGTGGTTAGCGACGGCTAATTCCATTGGGTGTGCGAACGAACGGAGTAAAAGAGTTCCCACGCGATAAGCTTTAACCCTTTGACGCTGCTTGTATCTCCCAAAAAGCGAATCGATCTTTTCTACTGGGTGGCGTGAAAAAAGGAGAAAAACATCCAGGAGTATTCTCAAGTGCCCCGAAAAAAAAACATCCCGTCTTGCAGACTCCCCGGAGAAATTGAACGTAAGCGAGCCTCTCAATTTCGGGTAATTTACCACTTTATCGCTGGATTTACTCCCGAGAGCGCAAACAAAATAAATCGCCTTTTATTGTTAAAAAATAAACATATCCAACCGCAATTCTTATTTTGCGTCCAATTTTCTTCCAAATATCTTTCGCGTTTTGTATTATTCAAATGTAGTCTAACTTTTGTAAATATAAATACGTATATTCAGAAATGTGACTTTTCGAACAGGTTTAAACGCACTAAATCTTTTAAGATTCCGAAAGTTTTGAAAAAACTCGGATTAATATTAATTGTGATATTCACTTCGCGAACGTCATCAACGTTTAACGCCGGCTATCCGGAAGACGAGGGTCACATGACGAGAGTAATGCACGACATATGCAAATACCAGGTGGACGATGATTTATTATACTAATCTCGTTACGAATTAATGTGCTGATTTATGATGGCGCGGTCCTTTTTCACTCTTCGCAAGGTGTCCCGACGCCGCATGAAAACGCGGCATAAGTCATCCCCGTCGCACGGATTTTTTCAAAGCCAACCGCCCCTTGTCCCGCCCCCCTCCAAAAAAATCCGTAAATCTAACACATTCGTATATTAAAAACTCCAGAAATTCCTATATTTTTTGGCAGTTTTTTCGCGGCATCAATAGCTTTTAAGTTATAAGCGGTTAAAAATTAAACGCCGTGATAAATTACGCTTATCTGCATTAATAAATTTTACTTCAAGCTTGATATGTGAGATATTTTATTTTTAAATAAATCGAAAATACACACGATATATTATTACATATTCATCACGGTTTAATTTCGCATTTTAAAACGGTTAATTGCAATCTACTTAAAGCAATGTAAATAAGAATTGAAATTGTAAATTTAGAGTGACACTCGTCTTGAATATAACTGAATTTTATACAAGTCAATATAACGTGCAGTGCTTTACTGGAACGTAGTATGAAAATATAAAGGATGATTCGATGAATGCTCCGCAATAACTTCGTGTGCATTTGTGAAAAGGTTTGCAAATCGTACATGTAAATTGGCATTTTTCCGTTATTTTGACCTGCTGAACGCGTTGCCCAGATATTGTGGTTTGCTCTCGAATCACTGTATATGTCAGAATTTTATGACGATTTTATATGGCACACTGGCCTTTCAAAGATATGTACTGCAGATACATAAAGGTAGAATAAAGGCAGAAAATATCGGATAATACTAGTAATGTTGAACATTGTTATTTTTTTCCTTTCAGTATTGAATTTAATGTGAAAAGCAAAAAAATTATCTTCTTCGTCGTCTAGAACATAACTTTTATTTCTATTTTTCTTTCTATAAGCAAATTTTTTATAGATAAATATTTAACATAATTATATAAATGTGTTAAGAACTGCTTAAGTATGGAAACAATTTTATGTTGAAATTAGCAATAATTCAATATTCAAATGAATTCAACATTATTATATTAAAACTGTTTTAGCATGTAACGTTGAATGTATGCATAATACCGACATGAATCAACTTAAAGGAAATAAAATAAAAATTTTGTATTTAAGACCTTTCCGATTGATTGATAACGAATTGATTAAATACGAATTAGTCATTAATTCTAACGAAGAGTAGAAACAGATTTTATATAATGCGTCATGCATACGTTCGATGACGCAACGCTCCGATCGCTAAAAATCCCCAAACTACGCCACGCATGTTTCAATTCCTATCCCGTCCCAAATCCGCCGCTAATTAACAGCTACGCTCGCATTGTTTAATTTTATTATGCAACGTTATTTTAGA